AAATCATTGGTTTTGCAGAATTCTATCATGTGGTCTCCAGCATCATTTCTATCACCAAGGCCATATTTTCCAACTACTGATCCTTCCTCTTTGCTCTCAACCTTTGCATTCCAATCACCAGTAATGATCAATACATCTTCATTGCATATATGATCCATTTCAGATTGAAGAAGTTGGTACAATTCTTCTATTTCATCCTCACTGGCTTTAGTGGTTGGTGTGTAAATTTGAATAATAGTGATATTAACTGGGCTTCCCTGTAGGCGCATGGATATTATCCTAGCACAGACAGTGTTGTACCTCATGACTGATCTGGATATGTTCTTTTTGATAATGAATGCAACACCATTCCTCTTCAATTTGTCATTCCCGGCATAGTAAACCACGTGGTTGTGAGATTCAAAATGGCCAATACCAGTCCATTTCAGCTCACTAATGCTTAAGATATTGATGATTATGTGTTCCATTTCATTTTTGACAACTTCCAATTTTCCCAGATTCATACTTTGTACATTCCATGTTCTGATTTTCAATGGATGAAGACAACGATCTGGCCAACTGATTGGAGGAGATCCATATTTGTGCCCATTCCAAAGAGAGGTGACCCAACGGAACGGAATGCGGAAATCATCGGACAATCTATTTGATATCCCATGAGAGTAAAGTTTTGCTAAAGGTCATACAGAAACAGCTACAATCATACATTGACAGAGAACTTCCAGAGGTTCAAGCTGGATTCAGAAGAGGCTGTGGAATGAGGGATATCACTGCTGATATCCGATGGATTTTGGATGAAAGCAGAGAATATCAGAAAGATGTTTACCTGTGCTTTATTGACTACGCGAAGGCTTTCAATTGTGTGGCTCATTACAAGTTATGGACAACATTGTGAAGTATGAGTATTCTGGAACACTTAATTGCTCTCATGAGGAATCTGTACCTGGACCAAGAGGCAGTTGTTCGAAAGAACATGGGAACACTTAATGGTTTAAAATTAAGAAAGGTGTGCAATAAGGTTGTATTCTTTCACCGTACTTATTCAACCTGTATGCTCAGCAAATAATCTGAGAAGCTGG